AATGCCTCTGGGGTCCTGGTTGCAGTCCCCTGCCAGGGGGCCCGCAGCTCTGTCAGGACCTTCTCCAGTACCAGGGAGCCCACTGGGACTCCAGGCAGCTAGTCGTATCTCAGGACAGCTCTGCCTGTCAAAGGCTCCTCCTCAGATTACGGAACTTGTGTCTCAGGAGTATTTTTCCTCTGGTCCTACTGTGGTCATACTAAGTACATCCGTTCCTCTCCCTCCAAGCTCAGGCCCTGCTGTGGGGTCCCCTCCACCTCTGCCATTCTGATCTCTTTCTTCTGAACCAGGCAAGGGCTGAACCCATACTCCCCATGGCCCCTGTGCAGGCTGACTCAGTGGGATTTCACCTTCCTCATTGTAGATGCTCTGCTCCTATTGATGCAGCCAATAGCTGGCAGCTATTTGGGTAGTGGTCATATACTGAGCTCCCTACCAACTACCACCAAGAAATATCTTCCCCGTATGGTTTCTGATTTCTAAAAGACCGTTTCTGATACTTCCCCTTTCCCTGAATTTCCTGGAAAGTAGACCTGGCTTCCTGATCCTTGTCTGAGATCCAGTCCCGGCCATAGGTATCTCTGCTGCCATTGAGGCCACTTGGCCTCTTCTCGGACCTCACTGCTGGGAGCTGTCCCAAGGCCTCATGGGCATCCTGGGTCTGGAGAGAGCCCTGCTCAGGAGCCCAGCTCCCTGGGAATCCTGGGTAAGTCTTCCTCCCTCTCTGGAAGGGAGATCTCTCCATCTATAAAACAGAGAGGTCAACTTCATATGGCACTCTGTCACAACCAGAGAAAGGACCCTGGTGCCATTTCTCGGATTTTGTTCCGACATCCCGACGTGGCCTGCACTCGTTTGCATGGTATTTATTTACTTGGTGCTGGGGTTTGAGCGAGGCTCTCCTGACACTAAGCACACAGCACCCCTGGGCAGTGCCCGGCCCTCGGGACAGCCCCTGCGAGCCGCAGGAGAGCCTATGTTCCTGGCTGCAGCGGGGGCCTAGGGCACGTCTCCAACTCCCCACCCTGGTGGCTTCCATCCCTTGGCTCATTCCATCTTTCCCAGCCGGTGTGGCAGCCCGTTACTCACTTCAATTCCATAAGATCCCACCGTGGGGTGGCTGCGGGGCCCTGTGGACCGACCGCACATGGCGGTGGACATTGTGCCTTCCCCAGAACAGCAGGAAGGACATGCAGGTGTGCAGAGGCCAGAGAGCAGGCAGCAGCTCAGCCAGGAGCTGTGGCAGGAGGGAGGGTGGAGGAGGGAGGTGGAGGAGGGAGGGTGGAGGAGGGAGGTGGAGGAGGGAGGTGGAGGAGGGAGGGTGGAGGAAGGAGGTGGAGGAGGGAGGGTGGAGGAGGGAGGTGGAGGAGGGAGGGTGGAGGAAGGAGGGTGGAGGAGGGAGGGTGGAGGAGGGAGGGTGGAGGAGGGAGGTGGAGGAGGGAGGGTGGAGGAGGGAGGTGGAGGAGGGAGGGTGGAGGAGGGAGGTGGAGGAGGGAGGGTGGAGGAGGAAGGTGGAGGAAGGAGGTGGAGGAGGGAGGGTGGAGGAGGGAGGGCGGAGGAGGGAGGGTGGAGGAGGGAGGTGGAGGAAGGAGGGTGGAGGAGGGAGGTGGAGGAGGGAGGGTGGAGGAGGGAGGTGGAGGAGGGAGGGTGGAGGAGGGAGGTGGAGGAGGGAGGGTGGAGGAGGGAGGGTGGAGGAGGGAGGGTGGAGGAGGGAGGTGGAGGAGGGAGGTGGAGGAGGGAGGTGGAGGAGGGAGGGTGGAGGAGGGAGGTGGAGGAGGGAGGTGGAGGAGGGAGGGTGGAGGAGGGAGGGTGGAGGAGGGAGGTGGAGGAGGGAGGGTGGAGGAGGGAGGGTGGAGGAGGGAGGTGGAGGAAGGAGGGTGGAGGAGGGAGGGTGGAGGAGGGAGGGTGGAGGAGGGAGGTGGAGGAGGAGTCCCCAAGGCTCCCACCTGCTCCTCATCAGGGTGATTCATCTCCAGAGAACAAGACCCGCCTGCTCTTGCGACACTGTGGAGTTCCCTGGGCTGGATCTGGAGGGGCTTAGGGTCGCCCAATCGGTGATGGGTACGGGGATGGATGGGGCTGGGGGAGGGCTGTGTCCTTCCCAGGATTAGGAGCAGTCATGGCGAGACGTGGCCATTGACCGCAGGTTCCCGGGCCCAGGACAGGGCCGAAGCCGGCAGTGGACTGGGGAAGAAGCATCTCCAGGAGCCCTTCATAGAGGCTAGGTGGGAGCCTCGTGGGCAGTGGAGCAAGGGGTGCTGCAGGACCTTCTGCTGACACGTCCCTCCACCCAGGGCGGGCGTCAGCACCCGGGGTGTGGCTCAGGCCTGATCCAGGTGGCAAGGGAAACCAGCCAGCGGTGCCAACCAGCCCCATCCACAGGAATCTGAAAAATGGCTCCTTCAGCCAAGGCAGGAATCTCTGCAGTGAGCAACAACCTCCCGGCAGGGGGTCGGGCCTCAGTGCAGCTGCCAGGCGCCAGGCCCTCCTGCTGCGGCTGCCTTCAGGAGGCTGGCTTCTCAGGGACCTTGTCACAGCGTGCCCTTGAACCAGCCTGGAGCTGTGCACTCAAAAGCTCAAGGCCGGCACGTGATCCTGGGAATGCTCTGCACCCCTAGAAAGGTTGATGAGCCACGAGCTGAAGGGGCTGAAGGCAGGTGGCAGAAGGACAAAGGCAGCTCAGGGAAGAGGGACGCCTGTCCATTCCTGTCCAGCGAGTGTTGCCGGTGCCTCCTGCCTCTTGGCTCGGGAGTGTTGCCTGCAGAGCTGCCGCCTGGGGGTCTGGAAGTCACCAGCCTCTGCCCCTCCCTCACCGCCCTTCCTACCCTGGCACACGGGGATGGACTCATAAGGACTCAAGGAGGGTGAAGGAGGTGGCCCCGGGACGTTGGCCCTGTGGGTGCTGTGGCTCTCCCTGGGCTTGCTCGCGGGCCACCTGCCCTCTGTCCCTAGACTGTAAATGAAGGAGCTGGGTCAGATCAGGGCTTGCAATCGCAGCCACCTGCAGTATGGTGCCTGTGCCACGCTGGAGGGAGGGCTCCCAGCCCACAGGGGGCGCTGTCACTCAGCACCCAAGAATCAGTGTCCTGGGAGCCCCAGAAGGCCAGCTCCAAGGGCCCGGGAGTGGCGTCTGTGTTCACTGTGCTGGCGGTGCCTGCGATGGCAGACCAAAGGCACGAACTGCCCGGTGTCACTCCACCTTCCGGGTGTTTGGGAGGAGCTGGAGAGCCGGTATCTCTCTGGAGCTTGGGTTTGGATAATGCATCAGAAGCTGTTTGGATGCCACGCTGCCCGGGGCTCGCACTGGTGCATCCCGCCTGCTGACCCAGATCCAGGCTGCTGGGACCACACCTGCTCTCCAGGCACTCTGGGCTGGAGCAGGATGGCAAGGTCATCGTTCCCAGGGTCCCAGCAGCCCAGCCTCGCAGGATCATGTGTCCCCAGGGACACTGTCTGCTTTCCATTTCTGTGCTGCGGCATGAGGGCCGGCCTTTCTTTCCAGGCCAGGAGGCTGCCGGCTCAGTGTCTCGGGGGTCTGAACAGGACCTTTGTCCCTGTTCCATGGAGCTGATCTTGGCCCCAGGAGCACTCTCTCCTCCCCAGGGCCTTGCCGTGACTGTTTGCCCGTGGGGCTCAGTGGACATCCCACCTGCACACACCTGTCCTTGACCTGTACCACTGGCTTCCCTCACCTCCTGCTGAGCTTGGATCTGAAATGGCCCTAAAGGCCCTCATGTGAAAGGTTTGGTCCCCAGTCCCTGGCACCATTGGGAGGTGGGGCCTCCTAGAAGGTAGGTAGGTCACTGGGGTCGTGCCTTGGAGGAGCTGTTGGACTCCAGGCCCCTTCTCATCTCTCTTCAAGTGCTGGCTGCCAGGAGGGGGACAGGCTCCTCTGTCATGCACTCCTGCCGTGATGTGCCGGGCAGCCATAGGCCCAAGCAACAGGGCCAGGTGACCAAGGACTGAGACCTGGGAGACCATTAGCCAGATTAACCTTTTCCCTCATTAAGGGGATTATCTCAGGTAGTTTGCCATAGTGGCAGAACACTGGCTGGTGTACCTCCTGCACGTTCCCTATTTTAGTCCTTCACCACCGACTGACCAGTACCTCCAACCCCCGGGAACTGTGGCTGTCCATCTGGCAAAACCCAACCTGGAGCAGTCCGACTGCCTGCCTGCCTGCCTTCTGGAGCTTGCTGAGCGCTGTAGAAGGAACGTGCACATCAAATTCATGCTTTCCAGCTTCAGCAGGGCCCCGAGCCCCTGAGTCTCTTCATGCTTCCTTAGTGAGTTGACTCTGACCGTCGACCATCACGGACCCCCCAGCAGGCCATCCTCCCCCAGCCCTACGCCCGGGTCCTCCGCCTCCCTCCAAGCCCGCCCTCCTACCTGAAGCCCACCTGCCTCTGTTCTGCTGCTGCTTCCGCAGGAACGTGCCCTTTCCTTACTTTGCTTGGCCAATGGCCAGGTGTTTGGGATTTGGGTCATCCGTCCTTCCTGTGGGAAGCCCTCTCTGGGGGCTCCTCCTAGCCACCCGGCCGGGCCCATCTCTGCACTCTCACCCCATTCTCTCCCCGGGGGATGGGGCGGTGCTCCTGCTCTGTGATCTGCTCCTGGTTACTGTCCTGTGGCCACAACTGAAGCAGAGACACGGTCAGGCCATGCGTCAGGTCCCCGGTGGCAAGGAGAGCATGGTGGGCCAGGGGCCAGTGGGTGCTGACCAGTGCGTTGCAAGTGGCCCAGGGCAGTGCTCCCCCCAGCTGTCCTCCCCTCCTGTACCCCACCCTCTGTTGAAACTCAGCCCACAGCTCACCTCCCCGTCCCTCTGGGCAGCCAGACCTTGTGGGCAGGAGCTTGGGCTGAACCTCGGTATATTCCTCACAGCTCAGAACATTCTGGACAAATGGAGATGTAACAAGACACCCTTCCTGGATGCCTGTATGAGTTTCCTGTTGCTGCTGTAACAAATCACGCAGACTCAGTGCTTTGAACAACTCAGATTTATTCTGTGACGGTTCTGGAGGTCAGGTGCGGGCAGGGCCTGTTTCTAGAGGCTCTTCTGGAGGCTCCAGGGGGATCTGCCCCCTTGGTTTTCCCCGCCTCTGAGGGCGCCTGCAGTCTTGGCTCACAGCCCCTTCCTCCCTGGCTCTGACTTCTGCATGTGTCCCCACATCTCCTCTGACTCTGAGGACCCTTGTGACTATGTTGGGCACCTGGATAATCCAGGACCGTCTCCCCACCGGGAGATCCTCATCTTAAGGACACCTACAAAGCCCCTGTTACCCTGTCAACTAACCTCCCCAGGGTCTAGAAACGGGCTCCGGATGTCTTTGGGGGTCATTATTTGGTAGATGGTCATCTGACCACCACTGTAGTCTTTATGAGGATGGAAGGATTGAAACGGAGGCCACGATTCTCCGTTCTCTGCTGCTTCAGCTCCGCCCGGACAGCGGGACGCAGTCTTTCCTGTGGGTGGAGGACAGCGCCTCGAGGCTCCGGGGGGGTGCATCGTTTGTAAAGCTCCCAGAGCTTGGTCCTGAAGAGCCGGCCCACGAAGACGTAGATCACGGGGTTCAGGCAGCTGTTGGCGAAGGCCAGGGAGTTGGCCAGCTGCAGACCCAGGTCGATGGGCTCCTCCCAGGAGCAGCCCCGGACGGCCCCCACCCGGAACAGGAACTCCAGGAAGGCGAAGAGGTGGTAGGGCGCCCAGCACACCAGGAAGGCCCCCACGAGCGCCAGGATCAGCGCCGTGGTCTTGCCGTCGCTGGGGCCCCCACACCGGGCCCTGCCGACGGCCTCCCGCCCTCGCAGGGAGGCCAGGATGTGCCCGTTGAAGAAGAGGATGGCGGCCAGGGGGAGCAGGAAGCCCAGCACGGTCAGCTCCACCATCCTGGCCACGTGCCAGGCCTGGTGGGGCAGCAGCAGGACGCAGGCGGAGATGTTCAGCTCAGGGACGGCTTCCACGGACCGCAGCAGGAACGTGGGGGTGCTCAGGAGGCCCCCCACCACCCAGATGAGCGCACAGGTGGCCTGGGCCTGCCGGCGTCGCCGCCGCCTCCGGCTGGCCATGGGGTGCACCAGCACCTGGTAGCGGTCCTGGCTGATGGCCACCACCAGGAAGATGCTGGTGAACAGGTTGGCCTTGATGACCCCGCTGACCACGCGGCAGAGGAGGGCGCCGAAGGGCCAGTGGAACTCGTTCCAGATGTTCTCCGCCCAGAAGGGCAGGCCCAAGACGAACACCAGGTCGGAAGCCGCCAGGTTGGCGAGGTAGATCTCCGCTGCATTCAGTCGCCGGCGTGGCAGGAGGAGGACGGACAGGACGAGAAGGTTCCCCAGGAGGCCCAGGGAGCAGATGGCAAGGAGGAAGGCAGGCAGCACTCTGTGCAGCAGGGCCCAGGCCTCGGAGGCGCCCTCGCAGGAGGTGGCGTTGGGAGGGGCCTGCAGGCTGCCGTTGGAGGACTGGAGCTCCAGGAGGACCTGGGATGCCATCCACAGTGACCTGAAATGAGAAGAGTCGGGGCTAGTGCAGGGGGAGGCAAAACCCAGCCCACGGGCCACCCTGCCTGCGCCTGCTCTGAACAATAAAGTTTTATTGGCACATGTCCACATCACTTGCATATACCTGTGGCCATTTCCGTGTTACGACAGCAGAGTTGACGGCTGCAACAGCACCCCTGGCCTGGAGCTGACCCTACTCACCAGCTGTTCCTCTAGAGGAGGAGGTTGCTGATGTCTGGTGGAGAGGAAGAGAACAGGACTTTGCCCTTGAGTTCAAATGCTGGCACAACCACTTGTGGCCTGCGTGGGCCCACTGACTTTTCCTTTCCTTTGGGGATCTGTCTATTGAGTGCTTAGCGTGGTGCCCGGGGGAAAAGAAAGTGCTCAAAAGAAGGCGGCAGCGATTAGACTTACTGGAGACCATTTCATGATTGTTACGAAAGAGCTGAACAAATGTTTAGTGAGCATCTACTTCCTGCACTTTGCAAGGTCCTGGAGATTCACAGGACAGAGCAGCCCCAACTCTGTGGGGCTTGCCGCCTGGAGGAGATGCAGGGTCATAACCTACGAGGGGACACACACAGGGCAAGAAGGAGGCACAGCCAGGGGAGCTGCTGGGGCTGGGCTGGCAGGGTGGATGGGTGGGGGCAAGAGTGAAGTGTTTCCGGAAGGAGATTCTTCTGCGCTTGGAAAACCTGGGCAACTGGATGGGAAGGAGAACACTCCCACTCATCAACGGCCGCTGGGTTCCAGGCACAGCTCTAAGTGTGTTACGTTTAAGTATTTCCTCATTTGATCTTCCAGCAGCTTGTCGTCGCCCTATGACCAACTGGACTTGTGCAGGGGGCGGTGTCTGTTGGACATGGAGTAGCGATGCCCAGTGTGCAATTAGGTATGCAAACCCGGTTTTCAGGGACAAATCTGGGATAAGGAAAAGTAACCGAGAGTTGCAGGCCCATGGAGGGAACCCTGGAGGGGGCGTGCAGATGGAGGGGGAGGGACAGAAGAGCAGGAGACCCGGGAATGATGCTTTGGTGGCTGTGAAGTTCCACGGCACGCAGGACGGGGCAGCTCTGATACAGAGCAGGAGGAAGATCTTGCTCTTGCCACCGTGGGACTGTCCGCCACGGTTGTTTGCTTTGCAGTCTGGCAAAATGCTTTAAGTTTGCAGTGAGCTCTTCTGCACGACGGGCCCTGAACCAAATGTCGAACAAAAATCCAAGTCTGGACTTTCTGTTTCTCAAGGAGGGGGCCAGCGTGCAGCGCCTGCGAGATGTTCTTGGCAAGTCCCGCTCCATGATGCGGAGGGTTGGGGTTGGCAGAAACACAGCCCCCAAAGGTGTCTGGGTCCTTGCCCCTCCCCTGGGGCCCATGAATATTATCTTTCATGATGTCATTGGATCATGGGTCACGGGGTGGGGAGTGTCTTGGGTCATCCACATGGGCTCCATGGCATCCTGCGGGTCCTCGTAAGGCGGGTGGGCAGGTCAGGGAGAGATGTGACCAGGCCGTGCTGGGGCCTAGAAGATGGGGGAGGGGCTGCACGCACAGGATGAGCTGGCCTCTGGGAGCTCCGGAGGAACACGGCCTGGCCACCCCTGTCCTTAGGCGTGGCCTCCAGAAGTGTAAGAGAATTAATTTGTGTCGTTTCAAGCCACGGAATTCGTGGTGCTTTGTTGGAGCAGACACAGGACACTGATGCCCAGCCCAAGATGTCAGCTCCCCCACCTATGCAGGAGCCTCAGCTTGGATCTGACGGGGTCAGCAGGCTTTGCCCTCCACTCCACAGCAGCCACAGCACGTGTCTGCTGAAGCCAGGGTGGTCTTTACTAGCTGGGGTTAAAGTTGGCCAGAGGAGAAATCTTCCTTCCTTAGTTCTTAGCTTCAGTGCTGAAATTTTTCCTGGCACGTAGTAAGTGCTCAGTAAACCACAGCTCTTGATGGCAGTAATTTGCTCTGCTTTGAAAAACTCACTGGGGACACTGGGCATCTCTACCAAAGATGGGAAGTCTGTAATTTCTAAATGAGGTTTTGTGAGTTTCCCTGGCATGGGCTATGTGGCAAGTTCAAAATTTTCTTCACTAAATTAGCCCTCCTCAGATGAACTCCAATGTCAACAGTCAGGCGGTGACAAGGACACTGGGAATATAGACAGAGTGGGTGAGAAGTCAGCACCGTCAAGAGCAAGGCGGTGCTTCCAAGCCGAACACAACCCGAGCAGTGATTGTCCTTAGGAAATCTTGTAAGCCAGCTGGGAGGGATTTATTTTCATAAATCAGAATCTGTATATGGTGAGGGCAGAGTCCCTGTGAGGGCAGATGGCTGTATTTGGCACTGATGCGTTACTTTTGTTTTCTTTTTTATTTCCTACAGTCCTTTATTTGTTCTTTTTAGATATACGTGAGAGTAGAATGTATTTTGATGTATTCTACATACATGGAGTAAAACTATTCTACTTAGATCCCATTCTTGTGGTTGAACATGATGTGGAGTCATACTGGTGGTGAACTCACACATGAACATAAGAAAGTTCTGTCTGATTCATTCTATTGTCTTTCCTATTCCCATCTCCCCTCCCTTCATTCCCTTTTGTCTAATCCAATGAACTTCTAACCCCCCAACCCCCATTGTGTGTTGGCATCCACACATCAGAGAGAACATTCAGCCTTTGGTTTTTGGGGATTGGCTTATTTCACTTAGCACGATAGTCTCTAGTTCCATTCATTTAGAGGCAGAAGCCATAATTTCATTCTTTATGGCTGAGTAATACTTCATTGTGTCTATATACCATTTTTCTTTACCCTATTGAAGGGCACCTAGATTGGTTCCATAGCTTAGCTATTGTGGATTGAGCTGCTAGACACATTGAAGAGACTGTGCACTGTAGTATGCTGATTTTAAGTCCTTTGGGTATAGACCGAGGAGTGGGATAACTGGGTCAAATGGTGGTTCCATTCCAAGTTTTGTGAGGAATCTCCACACTGCTTTCCATAGTGGTTGCACAACTTGCGGCCCCACCAGCAGTGTATTGTATGAGTGTGCCTTTCCCCACATCCTCACCAACACTTATTGTTGCTTGCATTCTTGATAATTGCCATTCTGACAGGAGTGAGATGGAATCTGATAAACAAATTCAGCAAAGTAGCAGGATATAAAATTAACACCCATAAACCAATTGTGTTCCTATACAGCAAAGAGGAATCTACTGAAAAAGAAATTAGGAGCACTATCCCATTCACAAGAGCCTGAAAAGCAACCACCACCACCACAACAAACAAAAACGAACTTGGGATTCAATCTAACAAAAGAGGTGAAAGACCTCTACACTGGAGACTCCAGAACACTAAAGAAAGAAACTGAAGAAGACCTTAGGAGATGGAAAGATTCCCATGTTCTTGGACAGGCAGAATCAATATTGTCAAAGTGGCCCTACTACCAAGAGCATTGTACAGATTTAAAGCAATTCCTATTAAAACCCCAATGACATTCTTCATAGAAATAGAGAAAGCAGTCATGCAACTCATTGGGAAAAAACAAGAGGCCCAGAAGAGCCAAAGCAATCCTCAGTGAGGAGAGTGAAGCAGGAGACATCACAGAACCAGACTTAGATCATCCTGCAGAGTCTAGTGACAGAGACAGCAGTGCGGACGAGTTCCACTTGACTGTGACATAAAGGGTGACGGGAACCTTCCCTAGCTGCTCCAAACACTCTTCCTCATTCCCCTAATCTGAAAAATCAATTAAAGCCGAAACCAGGCATGAGATTGATCAGAATTGTTTCTGTTAAGTCATCTGCACTTAAGAACATAGATGCTGCCGACGTACAGGTGTAAGGGAAGCTTTCCGTTTGTTAGATTCTTTTTTTTTTTTTTTTAACAGATGTGATCTCTTCCTTTTTAGATTCATAAGAGAGAAAAAAAATAAAAGGTGGTCATTTACTTACCGGAATGGAAAATGAAAACGCTCACAACTTGGGCTGGGTCTTCTCCTGGCGAGGACAGCCTTCGGAGGTGTTCTGTGCTGGGACCTCTGGGGGCATGTGACAGCCTTCAGTGAAACCGTCTCTGCTCCTGTGATGTCACGGGGAGGGGGGGTTGGCTGAAAAGTGAGTCTTGGCTGGAGAAGGTGGTCCAGCTTTGGAGAGGGAAACTCACTGTCTTTCGCTTTACTCAGCCTCCTCTCCCCGCTTCTTGGGTAACATCCGGGAGGCTGGCCCTGCTGCCCGAGACGCGCACCGCACACAGGCCCTGCATCCCAGTGTTGGCACCGTGCCAACCTCCGCCTCTGCTGAGGGGTGATCTCCCTGTCACAGTCGGCCCCCCAGTGCCTGGGACTCGGCCTCACTTTGGCTGGAGATGGCTTGCGCCTCCCCTTTTGCATTTTGGTCATGAAGGGTGGGTGGCCTGGAATCCACCCGCGTGGACAGTGACACACACAGCGGGCGGGGCAGAGGCTGACTCATGGGGGCTCGGGGATGAGTGAGGCCTCGGCGCGTCCCCCGTCCTCCCGGGCAGATCTGGAGTCTGGTTTTGATCTGTCTGCGTTGGTGGAGTTACACTACGCAGGACCCCACATTTCAGAAAAGAGGAAATTCATTCCTGGCTTTCCTGGGGGGGGGGGGACAGGCAACGGGCCCTTCCTCAGGAGGCCACTGACCAGGAGCCCAGCTGTGCCAGCTCCCCGGCTTCTTGCAGGGCCTCACCTGCCAACTCGGGGCTCCTGAGGGGCCGGCCCCCCCGCCGCGCCCCCACGCCTGCCACACAGAGTGTTCCTTTGTCTGCAGAATCGGGCCTGGCCTGGCTCTCCTGTTTTCTGTTACTGATGTCTGGGGGATGGACGCACTCTCGAAGGGGGTCCAGGGGCATTCCAAGATCGGATTGGTAGAGGACACGTGGGGAGCTGGCATGGGCCTCTGGGGACATTCCTTACCATCCAGGCACCTCTCGGGGGGGGGGTGGGGGGCGTTGGGCAGGGGCCTCACACTGTCCTTGGGTGGATTTTAGCCAGAGAACAGCACCGAGTCCCCTTCTTTCCTCCTGTGGCTACGCAGCGGGGGTCTGGCTAGCCAGCCACTGACGACGCCTCCCTCAGCTGGGAGATGAGACTGCCCTGGTCTGGGAGGCTCCTTCCCAGCTGTCCCCCTGCCAAGTGTCTATTTACTCTCCCGCGGCCGGAGACAGTCCTGCCAAGAGGGGGGCTCCGCGGGTCTGAGCTCAGCTTTGCTCACCCGGAAGACGGAGGGTGGAGAGAACGGCCCTGTGCAGGGCCACTGATGGGGGCCGAGGAAGCCAGACTTCCAGGGGTCAGTCTGTGGCGGCCTTGACCGAGGCGGGGGAGCTCTCTGATGAGACTCGTCCAGCTGTCCCTGGCCCTGGATGGAGACTGGGAAGCAGACCCTTGATCCAAGGGAGCAGAGGGTCTCCCTCGGTGGGGAGTGGGCCAAGGGCAGTGTGAGGCAGCCCCCCGGCTCCGTGCTCACCCACCAGGCAGGTGGACAGATGCACAGAGTCACAGTCGTGATGGTCCACCTGAGCGGGTCCCGGGCATTCAGAGACCCCCAGGTGGGGCGTGGGCCTGAGCCCACGGGCTGGCCGAGGTGCAGGCCTGAGCGCTGCTCCAGGACAGGAAGGGGCGGTTGGCGGCACAAGCTCCACTGGGCCAGGGCTTCCGAGGACGAGGAAAGTCCAAGAACCCAGCCTCCGGCTCCAGCCCTGCGTCCACCCGCCTGGGAGAGGAAGGGCCGCCCACCTGGCAGTGGGCTCACGAGACCCTCTCCTTAGGGGAGTTATGAGGCCCCCATGGTGAACATGGTCTGGGACCTGGACCATGGAGATCTCCCCAGGGACACTTGGAAGGGACTTGTGGCTGGGAGAATCAGCTATGCTTCTCCGTCTTCTAAAACCTGTCAGGCCAGGTCACTTCTGAACTTGAAACCCTCCTAGGCTCTGTGCCAGGCACAGGCAGGGGCTGGACAGTGGCCTACAGGGCCATACAGGCCAGACCTGGCTACCTCCCAAGCATCCATCTCGTGGTCCCTGCCCAGCTCTCCCAGCAGCCTTGGGCCTTCTTGCTCTGTTTTGGACACGCCCTATCCTCTCCCACCTCAGGGCCTTTGCACTGCCAGCTCCCTCGGCCCACCCTTCCCAGAGACTCACTCACACCCTCACTCTCTCAGCTGCTTCCCATCTCCACAAGTCCCTCAGGTGAGAGAGCCTCTGGAACAGCCTCTCCTTTTGTGCCCAGCTCTGTGGTTCTTCACAACCCTGTCACCTCCTACATGTATGCACTCCTGTGTCTGTGTTCACTTCCTGTCTTCCTCGCCAGCATTTGAGCTCCACAGGGCAAGGAACTTATCTCTGTGGATCAAAGTCCCATTTCCTCTCTCAGAGATGATACACAGTAGTTGCTCAATAAATACTTGCTGAATGAATTCACGACCCCAGGCATTTATAGATAAAAGCATCAACAGTTTGTCTTATGCCAACAAACATGTCTTTGCCCTTGGACTGGAATATGCATCGCCAGCCTCTGGGCCTCCAGCCTGCAGACAGCACCTCAGAGGACTTCTTAGCCTTCATAATCACACGAGCTGATTCCTCATAATAAATCTCTCTCTGTCATCTATTTCTCAGGAGAGTCCTAATAGGCAGAGTCTGGGGAGACTGCATGGAGGGGGGACATTTGAGCTGGGTTTTGAGAGATGGATAGGAGTTGGAAGGCTGAGAAGGGCGTGTGCAAGGACAGCGTGTGAATTATAAAATGCAGAAGCCCTGTGCGAGGCCCCTGGGAGCTCGGAGCAGGCCGCACGCCGCTCTGATTCTTCTTTCCAGGAAGACCACTGGGTCCAGCTGGGTTTGGAAAGACCGCCCTGGGCAGGCCTTATAAGGACCCATGGTTTGGTGCAGAGAAGATTAAACAGAGCTCCTCAGGGCGGAGTGAGTGGTGTGCTGAGTGGGTGCAGGAGACGGGCCAGCCCCACTCAAGACCTCTGGGGACAGTGGGGGACTTGGCGGTCTTAGGAATGTTCCAGTCCTGCCTACTTTTGAAAGTTGCTGGGAGAAGCCAGGGCCAGGGCCAACGCTGCACTGTCTGGCTGCCCGTGGGCACCCTGGGCATGAAGATGCCCCTGTGTCTTCCCATCCTGCGCCCTCCTGTTCAGCAGCCTTGATGCCTGGTGGTCGTGTGCAGCAAAGAACGAGGCGGAGACGTGATGGCTGCCTTTACGGTGCATGGGGTTGCCTTGGGACGGCCAGCACCTAACTTGAGCATTGGCCACACTGATCCCCAGGACAGGAATGCTTCCAGGGGCTGCAAGACTCTGGGCACAGGGCTACTGGGATAGCTGAAGACACCTGTACCCCTTCTGGAAGACCTGGGATCACTCTGGACTGTTCTCGTCCTGGATGGAGGGCAGCTACCAACTGAAATGCATGTGTCATTATAATCCATGAGCTCTGTGAAAAAAAAAATAATAGGACACAGTGGCCCATGACACAGAGAGGAGTGGGGACTTGTGCTCAGGGAGGCTGTTCAGGGAGGCAGCACGTCCTGTGCCAGGTCCTGGAGTATGAGAAGAAACCAGCTGTGGAGTAGGAGGCACACACAGCATAAGCAAAGGCCCTGGGGCTCAGTGGCTGGAACAACTGAGGAGGCTGTGTGCAGAGTGTGGATATCTGGAGAGTGGTGGGGCAGGCAGAGGCCATCTCGACCCAGCCTGCTAGAGCACTGTGGGGAGTTTGGAGTTTCCTGGTTCAATGACATCGAAAGGGAGGGAGGGAAGATCAGGCAAAGGGAACGCTGAGCTCTGAGGCAGTCCCCAGGAGCGCCAGGCAACCTGTGGGGGTTCTGATGCTGAGATAAACCTTCAGAGCTGCTAGGGGGTGAGACAAGGGGGTGAGACGGCTGGGGTGCCCTGCAGAGGTGGCCTGGGCCCTCCCGGTGGCCCAGCACCACAGCCAATGGGGAAGGAAGCTGTGTTTGGAAGATCACCTGGCTCCTGTGTGGCAGATGGGTCACAGGTGGGGGGCGGGCAGTCAAGGAGGAAGTGAGCTGGTGCGGGGATTCCCTGGGGACACATGGTGGGTGGGAGAGGGCAGGAGGGGGATCCAAGAGCTTTCCCAGATCTAGATATCTACCTACCTACCTATCTACCTACCTACCTACCTGCCTACCTACTTACCTACCTACCTACCTACCTGCCTACCTACTTACCTACCTACCTATCTACCTACCTACCTGCCTACCTACTTACCTATCTACCTACCTACCTACCTGCCTACCTATCTACCTACCTACCTACCTACCTACCTATCTACCTACCTGCCTACCTACCTACCTACCTACCTATCTACCTACCTACCTACCTATCTACCTACCTGCCTACCTACCTACCTACCTACCTATCTACCTACCTACCTACCTATCTACCTACCTGCCTACCTACCTACCTACCTACCTATCTACCTACCTACCTACCTACCTGCCTACCTACCTACCTATCTACCTACCTGTCTACCTACTTATCTACCTACTTACCTATCTACCTACCTGCCTACCTACCTACCTATCTACCTACCTACCTACCTATATACCTACCTACCTATCTACCTACCTACCTATCTACCTACCTACCTACCTACCTATCTACCTACCTACCTGCCTATCTACCTACTTACCTATCTACCTACCTACTTTCCTACCTACCTACCTGCCTACCTACCTACCTGCCTACCTACCTACCTACCTACCTATCTACCTATCTACCTACCTGCCTATCTACCTACCTACCTACCGATCTACCTACTTAACTATCTACCTACCTGCCTGTCTACCTACCTACCTATCTACCTACCTACCTGCCTACCTACCTACCTACCTGCCTACCTACCTACCTATCTACCTACCTACCTACCTATCTACCTACCTACCTACCTATCTACCTACCTACCTACCTACCTATCTACCTACCTACCTGCCTATCTACCTACTTACCTATCTACCTACCTACTTTCCTACCTACCTACCTGCCTACCTACCTACCTGCCTACCTACCTACCTACCTACCTATCTACCTATCTACCTACCTGCCTATCTACCTACCTACCTACCGATCTACCTACTTAACTATCTACCTACCTGCCTGTCTACCTACCTACCTATCTACCTACCTACCTGCCTACCTACCTACCTATCTACCTACCTACCTACCTGCCTACCTACCTACCTACCTACCTACCTATCTACCTACCTGCCTATCTACCTACCTACCTACAGATCTACCTACTTAACTATCTACCTACCTGCCTGTCTACCTACCTACCTATCTACCTACCTACCTATCTACCTACCTACCTACCTACCTACCTACCTACCTGCCTGCCTACCTACCTACCTACCTGCCTGTCTACCTACCTACCTATCTACCTACCTACCTATCTACCTACCTACCTACCTACCTGCCTACCTACCTACCTGCCTGCTTACTTACCTACCTATCTGTGGGTCTATCCCCCATCTCAAGAGTTCTTTCAAGGACTTGGCTTATAGGATAGGGGGTCCGACTGAGACCAAGCTTTGCAGGGGTCCCTTAGGAACCCAGGCAGGGCCGATGCTGCCATCTTGAGGCAGAACTTCCCCTTCAGGGACTCTGGGTGTTTGCTCTCAGCCCTGCACTGAGTCCACTGTGGAGAAGCCCAGCTGGTTGCCAAGGGCGACCTCCTTTATGTACTGCCAGGGGTCTATAAGGTGCTAACCCCCTCTGCCAAGTGCCCCACCGTAATACCCACGTTCACATCCATCTAAGTAACTGTGCAAGGATCGCGGCCACATGGGTACATGAAACCCTCCGTCACACACGGTATGAAGAGCCATAATTCTGTCTGAGATTAGTCAGAGGACCATGCAGACAGACAAGAACAAGGGTTAGGGTGGAGGCCCGGGGAGTCCAACATTTAGACTTCAGGTGAAGAAGGAGGTGCTGGGCAAGGAGACCATGAAGATCCAGGCGCCAATCAAATCCAGGAGGCTGGGGTCCACCCATCAGATGGAATGGGCCCGCCCCCTTGCAGGACTTGTCAGGGCCTGTAACATGCACACAGGCACGTGGAGCCCCGTGAGGAGGCGTGCTAATCACATTTCCTGGACTCATTTAATCAGAAACCAGGGCGGTGGTTATTTATTTATTTATTTAATTGTGAACCTTTGGGAAACTCTGGGGAATAAATAATGACACAAATAGTCAAAATTGTGAAAGTGGCCCTGCCCTCGGATTGCCTAAAAGGGCCCTGAGAAATGCCATCTGTGGGCAGGACGGGCCTCTTGAATTCCCCATCCTGAAGGTGAGACACTGGGGCCTGACTTGGAGGTGAGTGGAGTGGAAACGCCTAGCCAGGGCTTGAATCCCTGCTCCACCCCTGAGGGCAGGGCCACCTGGGCCCTTCTCTGCCCTCTCCAGGAGCCGCTCTGCAGAGCTGGGGCATCGGATGAGGTGGAGGCAGCCGGGCTTGGTGGCTCCTGGAAGGAGCCGTTCCTGAGGTCGTCATCTTGCTGTTGCACAAGACAGAGGGAGTGTCAGCCCAGGGCCACCGGCTGTCCTCATGCAGCCAGACCTGGAGAGGAAGCAGATGCCTGTCGCTGGCCACTGTGGGGGCCACGGGTGACTCCTGTGGGGGAGGCTCGAATCCCCCTTCTGGCCATGGTTCAAGGCTGTGGATAAACAGCCTCCCTCCTGGTGGGCTCGGCCCAGCTGGGCCCTTTGGTGGGAGGCTCCCTGAGTCAGCCGGCCCTCGGGCCTGCGGGTGAAGACAGGAGCAGCACACCAGGCCTGGGGCCCTGGAGGAGGGGGCCTGGGCTGGCCCCTGAAGTGCCGTGTGACTTGGGAGAGGCCTCAGGACCCTCTGTTTGGAGGTGGCACGGCCTGTCTTTCCTAGGAAGCCCTCTCTCACGGCTCACAGGAGGTGGCAGGGCAGGGACTAGGCCTGGCCCCAAAGTTCTCCCCCTGTACCTGATATTCTACCCCAGTGGGAGGGGGGTGAGAGGAGCCACCCAGAGGCAGGTAATCGTGATTCTAGGTGAAGTGTCGCTGCAGGCGTCTCTGCGCGGGGACTTAGAGCCAGAGCAACAGAAGTGGCTGCCAGGAGTGGCGGGAGGTAGAATTAGGCACGACCCTGATGGGTGGGGTTTCTCTTTTGGGGTGATGAGGAGGGTCTGGCATTAACAGCGGCCACGGTCGCCCAACTCTGTAGATAATGAAAAGCTGGGGTGGGTGGACTGTATGACATGTGAGTCATCTCTCGACAAAACTGCTGTGACAAATGTGAGTACAAGGAGCGGCCACTGTCCCTGGGGGAGGCGACAGTGCAGAGGGCATGTGCAGGTGCCCCGTGGGGAGGGGCTCCACCGCAGCACGCCCACCCCAAGGTGAGGATGTCCTATGTGGAAAGCGCACTGGGTCCCCCCTTCCTCCCAGCCTCCCAGCGGGCAGCTCGGGGCACTGTCCACTCACTGGTGGTCCTCGCCCCCCCCACCCGACGTCGGACAGAAGAGGCTGGACACCCAAAGAATCGTCAGGAAGCAGGTTTATTGACTGTAGGGTCCAGAGGGGCGGATGCCTGAAATTCTCTGGATCTTGAGTCTGGAAATTCTTGGAACCTTATCCCCAAGGGGACGGGGGGTGCTGGATGCTTCCATTTTTGTAGAGTCTACATAAAAGAATATTTTTTCCCTTGAGTTCACAGAGAGTGCTTTTGGTCCCATGTTTTTTTAGATTAGTCAGAGGTTTTACAACAAAAGCAGAAGCGACACCATCAAGTCTCCGGTCACACTCAGTTTTTGCAAGATGGAGCAACTCGGCCTCACAAGACATAGGAAGCTCTGCCCCACATGGGGTTTTTTGTAGGAATTTTGGCTGATGTCCTGTGTAAAAAGCTTTCTGACGAGAGGAGGAACTTACAAGTTACAAATATGGTGGGGGTTTCTGCTGGATTATGGTGAGGGTCCCCCAGGTGGGGGTCTCCCGGGTGGGGGTCTCCTGGGTGGGGGTCTCCGGTCTGCTTGACCTCCAGCCTGCGCCTTGGTGGCTGCCACTGTCCACCGAGAGAGGATCAGATGGCTTATGGCCAACCCAGGGAAGATCTAGGTTCAAAATTCAAAGTACGGTTCCTACCGAATATTTGAAAAATTGTAAGTCAACCCTTGTGAACTGAGGGCCCTCCACTCAGGAGCACGGAGTCCCTCGGGTGCTCAACACAGTGTGAAATACTTGATGGGCCTCTTCGCCTTAGGCCTGGCCACAGCCAAAAACCGCAAACAGACTTAAACTTTCAGCAGTTGCATTGCAAACCACGACCTCTGTTACTTGTGGCTGACCACACGTCCCCTGGGCCGGGGCTGGGGGACAGTCAGGAAGCTGTGTGAGGCCTTGCAGTGGGGTCAGGGTCGGGTAATATGGTGATGACCCAGGACACAGCTGGTTCTTGGCCTGTGGAAGCACAAAGATGCCTCTCAAGTGGCTCCCTAAGTCAGCGTTGCCCTGATCTGGAGCAGGAGTTCCCGTGGGGTCACTTGATGTCCAGTTTGCTGCTGGCTCTGCCTCCCGTTTTATAGACAAAGTGATGTCGACGCGGTGGGCTCGCAAGAGCGAGCCCAGGGCAGGACTGGCTGGCAGGGCATCCACAGCCATGCTGTCCCACAGCCTGTGCCCCAGCCCTGATCCGGGAGCGTGTGTGAGTCCTTCAAAGGTGACCTTGGCTGCAGACTGGAGACCTGGGAGATGGTGGTGGCTAATATTGGAGGTGGAGAGGCCAACAGAGGACAGGTGGACATGGAAGTGGGTAGATCCAGCTCACACTCATGGGGTCGAGTCTCAAAGACGTGCCAACCCACCAGGTGGGAGGCATTAAAAAGAGGTGCACTGAACAGTGAGCCCCAGGGTTCTGGAGGGCAGACTGAGCAGTGCTATAGATTTTAGATTCTTTCTTTTTCTGTAGTGGGGATTAAACCCAGGGGCACCCAGGGGCTAACACTGAGCTCAGCCCCCAGTCCTTTTTATTTTGAGACAGGATCTCACTAAGTTGCCCAGCCCCATCTGGAACTTGCAATCCTCCTGCCTCAGCCCCTGTCCCCCCAGGGCTGTGCTACTTATGGAGACACAGAATGCAAGTTCTGTTTAGCGAAGGACAGAACTGAATGAAGGACACTGAGGCGGATGGGTACAGCTGCCCTGAGAATGCGCAGGCAGTGGCTCTTACTCTGGATGTTATTCGACTCCTGATTTGAAGGGAAGGTCAAGTGTAGGCACTCAAAAATACATCCAGTGTGAATGAAGACTGAACCTCGGCCATCTGTGATTCTGGGCCTCGTGGGCACCCAAGGGAGCTGGTGAGGAGCTCCCCATGGAGGGATCTAGGAAATTTGTGAAGCTCCATCATTGCAAAAGCACGAGACCCCTGATCTACACGCCAGAAGCCGGAGGAAATCAGTGGATCCCCCAGCCCCCCAGGCTTGCGACTTGCCAAGGCAGCATCCAGGGACAAAACTCAAGGTTAGGGAGCTGTGACAAGTGAAGGGGCCACGTGGGACAAGACGCATGCTCACAGGGTCCCCCTTCCTCGTGGCTGCTGAGCTGCTTTAATGTACAAGTGACAGCTTTGGGCTCTTTCCGGGGACAGACCTCTCCACCTGGGGATCAACACCACCCACGGGTGGCTCCCCTCTGGCCGACGCAGTCTTGCCCCAGACCAGGCAGAACATGAGGAGCCCAAGGCTGTGACCAGCTGTAACCAGCAGCTCCCTGGGGAAGGAAGTTGGGGGGAGACTTTTTGGTGACAAAATCAGAGTCAGATTGGCCAGGAATTATGGGCTCACTGCACCCCAATCCTCCTGGGGTCTAACAGCTGGCTGCTAATGTTCATTTCCTGTTCCACTGAGCTCACTGCTGCAGTGCTGGCCACAGCAGGCACATAATTAGGCGCATCCCAGGGACTGGGGCGGTGTGCCATGCAGCACTCAGCCTCGCCTGCGTCCCGTGGCAGAGCCCAGCCAGGCCCTGTGCTTGGCCCTAAGGGGAGCACACGCAGCAAGTCCCCTGATGGAAGGCCTGCTCGGGCCTCTGTTTAGCCTCCCATCTGTTCAACATGTGGGTCTGGGTCTCCACATGCCCTGAGGTCACACATGCCCTGACTGGGCAGCCCAGAGGGTACAGGCTTGGCACACCCAGGGCTGTGGGACTCCCCATGGTGTAGGGAGGCTGGTCCCATAAGCTGATGCCTTGGGGTGAGCGACCTTCATGGGTCTCGGCCCTTGGACGGCTCCACTGCTTCCCACCCAAGCTCTTCTCTGGGTCCCTCTGGGCACCTTTGAATAAAGTATTGACTGGCAGTCTTGGTTGCTGAGACCAGGACAAGGGAGAAGTAGGACTGGACCCCCAGACAGGTGGGGGCCGAGGCCAGGGTCTGAGCACTGTTGTCCCAAGCAAGTCTTACCAGAGACCACTCTCCTGCGGCCACGGAAGGGATGGCTCCTTTCAAAGGCTTGGGTGTGTGTGTGGGGGGATGGGGAGGAAAGTGGGAGGGGGCGGGGCAGGCGATGGAAGGCAGGTGGGGCCAGCAAGCCCTACTGAGCCCCTGCTGAAGCTGCTGTGCCCACCTTGGCTTCCAGGTCTGATTCTCCTCCAGGAGCGAATTCCAAACCTCAAAGTCTTTTCCTTATAATAATCCATCCCACTTGGTGTGCAGAATGACATCTCACAGTGACACAGCACCTTTTGCTTCTCAAAGGACTTTTATGCTTGTCTCGTTCTTCAGTCCTCACAATGACCTCATGTTACATAAGAGGAAACGGAAGCAGGGACCAGGAGATTGTGCATCTAGCAGTCAGCTAAACTGGGACCTCGGGTCCCTCCCAGCTCTGCTGTCTGTGCTGCTGCAGCCTCTTGCCTCACCATGCCACGGAACTGTAGGCACTCCCAACCGAGTTCTGCGGATGCTCAGAGAGAGGCTTTCCTCTGGTCCACTCTTCAGTGCAGTGTATACAGCAAGTGCTTAATAAGTGCTTATTGGGTTCTCCTTTTGCATGGACCACATGTCGAATGGTGAGAAGAGCCAAAGGCTCATGGTCGCTGGGTTTTTGTAAGAATTTAACCTTCGTTAATCTGCAGAGTCATCCTCCAAAGTCCTAGCTGCATGGATTAATGACACCCAGGGCAACAGTGCAGCCAGGTCCGGCTGTGCACTCCACCACAGACCAAAGCTGGGCCACTGTTCTCTGGAGCCCTGAGCTGTCACACTGAGGCAGGGAGGGACCACCGGCCCGGCCACTCCTGCCCCTGCTCCCTGATCCCCTCGGCTCCTGGGAAGCAGCAGCAGGCCCCGCAGGGTCAGCAGGGGACAATAATACTGTTGCGTGTAGGGGGCACTTGGCTGTGCCCAGGTCACCTCCTCATCAGGGCTGTGCACTGCCATCCGGGAGGGCGGGAATCGCTTTCCTGTATTTTTCCTGAGACACCAACTCATTGCTCGAGATCACGGGAGGCCGCCAGCTCCTTGCTGGGTCCGTGCTGGACAGCCGCTGTCCGTCCGTCCTCGCGCACAACAGCAGCAGCCCCGGGGCCCGTTCACTGGCTGCCCCTCGCCCAGTCCTACAGTTTGTGAATCTGGCGGTCCACCGAGATGGAGGTGCGCAGCGTGCCCATGGAGTTGTCCGCCGGGACGGGCTCGGGCACGCAGCCCCCTTTCCCGCACGTGCCCTGGTACACCTCGCGGGACTTCTTCCGGAAGCGCTTGCCCACGATGACGTACACCAGCGGGTTGAGGCAGCTGTTGCTATAGGCCACGTAGGAGCTGATCTGCGTGATGACGTCGATGATGTGCTCGTTCCAGCAGCCCGAGAGGATGCCGAGGCGCAGCAGCGTGTCCAGGAAGGTGCTGATCTGGAAGGGCAGCCAGCACACGACGAAGAGCAGCAGCACGGCCAGGACCAGCACGGTGGCCTTCCTCTCTGTCTGGATCTCCTTGAACTTCTGCATCTCGTTGTTCCGGAGCACCTGCATGATCTGCACCGTGCAGAAGGTGATGACGCTCAGGGGCAGCAGGAAGCCCACCAAGTTCAGGAGAACATTGGTGAACACCTCCCAGGTGTGGGATGGGTAGATGATGACGCACGCGGTCACATTGTGGCCCTCCTCACTGTACCCCCTCATGGTCCGGAACACCAGCATGGGCGAACTCAGGAGCAGCGTGCACCCCCAGATCACCAGGCTGTAGAGTTTGGCCCAGCGCACCCCGCGCATCCTGCCCATGGACATGGTCTTCACCAGGGCCAGGTAGCGGTCGATGCTCACCAGCATCAGGAAGCAGATGCTGCTATACAGGTTCATGTAGATCATGGTGTTCACCACCCGGCACAGGACCTCTCCGAAGAGCCAGTCAAAGTTGTTGGCGATGGTGATGGCCCAGAAGGGCAGCCCGCAGGCCAGGATCAGGTCAGCCACCGCCAGGTTCCCCAGGTAGATTTCGGCCACAGTGCACCTGCTCTTGTGCAGGCAGAACACGCTGAGGACAAAGACGTTCTCGACTGCAGCCAGCACAAACAAGACCCAGAGGAAGGGGGCCTGGGTGGCATTGAGCCAGCCCCACCACTCGGTGTCGGGGCAGCTGCTGTCCTGGGAAAGGGTCCCGTTAAGAGCAGATTCGAGAGCTTGTGAGGTGATGTTGAGCATTTCAGTGCTGAAAGAAAGTGAAAAAGGGGCTTTTAAAACTCCAGGTCACAAGCGCAGGAAGGTGTGGGGGAGTGGGATGGTCCATCTGCCCCCCGGGCAGCAGGAGAATGGGCTGAACTGCTTCAGCCAGTGCCAGGAGACCCTGAGACCCCACCCTCCATCTTACAGTGCCCCTCCACACCTGGACCTAAACGGAGACCTCATTTCTTCACCTTGAAGCTCCCCCGGGGTACTTCCTGGGCCAGTGTCCATCAACAGCACTAACGCTAACCATCTGAGTGTTGGGCCAGGGGTGTCTAGAAGCTTCCACAACAGGAGGGTGCACAAGAGTTCCTCACTTATCCTGTGACCCCTCCCAAAGGAGGGGTCATTCAATTGTGTCATGGATGAGCAATTAATTAGACAAGAAAAATATCCTGCCAGACTGGGAGACTCCAGCCTGGGCGTGAGACCAAGGGCCATCTGCTCACACCCTGTCTCCTGGGTAGCCTGCCTCTTCTGGAAACGGGTAGCTTCTTGTTTTCACGCCCTCCATCTGCAAAGTGTGGGGTGACCGTGGTGGGCTGCATGATGGAGAGAGAAGGTGGGGTGTTGCAGACAGACAGTCCTGCTGACTTCAAATCCTGGTTTGCTTATTTATTAGCTGTGTGACCTCGGGGAAGTCGCCTCTCTGAACCTCAGTGACCTAACCACTTCTTAGGATTGTGATGGAGCTCTGAAATGATGTGCAGAAAGCTCTAAACTGCATTTGGTTCAATAAACTAGTAATTATTTTTGTCCACTTATTGAAACAACTGAGTCAAACCCCAGCCCCACTGTTTGCAGTTCTGGCTTCTGTGTGGGTGACTATTAATGGAGGGGGTCTGGAATGCTCCCCTGAAAGCTCATGTACTGGTCAGTGTGGTGGCGTTCAGGGGTGTGACAGCCTGGATTATGAGGCCTGTGACCTCTTCAGTGGATCAGTCCATCTGAGGGGTTCATGATTTGAACAGACTCTTGGGTGTTGACCACAGGCAGGTGCATGTGGTTTGGGGGAGTAGGTCCCCGGGGGCTGTGGCCTGGGACTATATCTGGTCCTCTCTCTCTTCCTCCTTCCCAGCGGTAATGAGCCGAGCAGGATTCCTCCCTATGCCCTTCCACCATGATGTTCCACCCACCTTGGGCCCCGAGCAGTGGAGTCAGTTGACCAGGGACTGAGACATCTGCACCCATGAGCCAAAATAAGTCTTTCCTCCTCTAAGTTGTTGTCAGGTACTTTGATCACCCCAAGGCTGAGTAACGCAGCGACCTTGTCATCAACCCAGGTGAGCCTCAGAGACCAGGAGGGAAGCGGTGTTCTAGAAGACTAACCATTTCTACCTCCAGGAAAGAGGCACAGGACTTGGGCAGAAGTGGGCACCGATTCTAGCTATCTCTAGGTGCGTAGTCTTGGGAAAATTGCTTGATCTCTCTCGGCTTCCGTTTTTTCTTCCTGGGGAGTAGCGCATTGTTCACCTCCCGACTTTCCCTGCATGATGGTGGCAAGGTTCACATCCGAGAGTGCTAGTGAAGACACCCTGAAAAGTGTGCAGCACACTCAGAGAGCGGCGGGCATGTCCCTAGGGCTTGTGGTGTGTGCGTGGCGAGGAAGGGGCTCCTCCTGGGAGGCCCATGGCTGGGAGGCTCAGGAGGAGGAACTGAGCAACCAAGTGCGGGAGAGGCTGCCGTGGCCTCTGGGGTTTCCCAGGAACAGCCCCACCTTGAGCTGGACGGGGCCCACCCATCCAAGCTTTTATCCTGGAGGGGCTTCTGAGCACCTGCTCTGAGCTGAGCCCCGCCCTGGGACAGGGACACGAGAGGAATCCCACTCTCCCCTGGTCCCGTGAGTGTGGGGTGGAGGGCCGGCCCAGGTACAGGATGAGGGTGGTGCAGGCGGATGAGGATGGGGAGCCAGGGGTGGGAGACGGGCAGAGCAGGCAGCGGGAGCCGCTGTCACAGAGTCGGAGAGGAGGGAGACGCTGGGGCACGTTCCGGAAGGTGGTACCAGGGGTTGGGGAGGACGGGGGGAAAGTGCGAGAGGTGAGGTTGACTAAGGGAACCGAGTGTCTGTGCTGGCTGCTGGGGAAGTGGGGCGCCGCCCCTGTAAGGAGGGGGAAGGGGAGCTCAGGGGTGTTCTGGAAAGATCCCTCTGGTGGCTTGAATAGGCCCCAAACTGTTTTGATACCGTTGCCTTCAGAAGGAGCAGCGCACTTCCCCTCCCTGTGGATATGGGCGGGGCGTGGCGCCTTGCTTCTGACCAACGGTGGCAGTGGCGGTGTCCTCAGGAGTAGGTCATAAAATGTGCTGCGGCTTCCTTCTCGGCCTCTTGGATTGCTTGATCTGGGCAACGCAGCCACCATGTTGGGAGGACACCCAGGTGGCCACAACCAAGGAACCGAGCAGGACCCCCTGGCGGTGGGTCCCCGGGCCCCAGAAGGGCCCAGGTGCTTCTGCTCCCTGAGCTTTGCATCCTCGCAGCTGAGGCTCCGGACACCAGGCCACAGGACCGAGCTCCCCAGCGCAGCTTCTAGTCCTGACCCCAAGCAGGAGGCTCCTCTCCAGTCTTCTGAAGCCAAGACCTCCCGTGGCCACTCCCTTAGTCGGCGTTTGGCCCCATTTCTGCAGATATAGAACACCCGGGGCCTCGGTGCCCCAGACCCGGGCACTTGGTGTGTCGCTAGAGACTGAAATACAACGCTGGGCAATGTCTTGGCTTCTCAGCTGGACACGGGGAGAGCCAGCGGGCTGGCACCCTGGCCCACGGCTCGTCCTGAGAAGCTGCAGGATCAGCTGTGGGTGGGATGTCGGGAGCCTGGGACCAAGTTGGCCCTCTGGAAGGCTGCACCTGCCACAGAAGGGGACGCCGGGTGGCCTTGCGTTCAAGGTTGGATGCTCTGACCTTCGTTTCCAAGTTTGCCTGGGAGGTCTCACATGTGACAACCAGGAGCATGCCCCGTGGCCCTCCCACCATCCCCTGCAGCAGCCCACTCCCCCACCAGCCTGCAGGGATCAGGACACTTGACCACTCTTGGCTTTGGACTCAACGTTGTCTGCTCCTTGGCTGTTGTCCGGGCCTGAGGACCCAGGGCCCGGCTCTCTGGGGAGCGCCCAGGCTGTCTAAGCAGCACAAGGAGAAGCCCCTGCACTCACCTGAGGGAGGCTGTGGTGGGCATGGGGTCCTCATGCACAGAGAGCAGCACTGGTCTCTTCCAGGTGGAGAACATCTGGACTCAGAGCAGGACGAGGGCGAGGCCCGGCCTGGACTGGAGGAAAGAGAGGAGAAGGTTAGGGGGCGGGGCCGTCGGGGACCATAAGTACATTCATTCCCCACCAGGGAGGGAGAGAGGGTGCGGAGGCCGGTACCTCGCACATGCTGATGAGGTGCTCGCTGCACGCTGGGTGCTGGGCACGTAATGGCCAGATGAGTGCTGAAGCCAGAGGGTACCCAGATGGTCACCAGTGATGCCCACTGATCTGTGTGCTAGGAGATCAGACGCAAGGTCCTGTGATAGTGATATGGTTTGTGTCCCCGGGCATTTTTGTATTGCAAGCTGGGTCCCTAGGGGGGTGATGTTGAAGGTGGTGGCTGAGTACAAGGTAATTTGGCCACTGGAGGCACTGTCCCCCAGAAGACCCCAGTTGGTTGTCTGAGAGGGCTGTTGTACAGAGCAAGACTGGCCTCCCCTCCTCTGGCTTCCTGTCTGGCCATGTGATCTCTCCCTCTCACGGGCACTCCCACTGTGATGTCATCTGCCAAGAGGCCCTCAACAGAGCTGGTTCCACACTTTTTGCACTTTTTGGCCTCCCAATCTGTGAGGTAAATAAACCTCTTTTCTTTGTAAGTATACAGCCTCAGGTGTTTTGTTATAGAAATGAAGAGTGAGTAGATACTGATGTTGAAGCCTGAGCATGAGCAGGAGTAGGAGGGTGAAAGGTCATGGTAGAGGAAGGAGGATCAGGTGCAAAGGCCCTGAGTCAGGGGGACTGGAGGTCTTAGGCCCTGGAGGCTGCTAGGACAGGGGATCATAGGGGCCAAGTAGAAATGTGGAGTGTGGCTAGCCAGTGTCCATCAACCTAGGCATGGGGTGATGGAGAGGGAGGAGGATGGATTCCAGCGGGGTTCAGAGAGTAGAGCTGATGTGCTGGTCCCAGGTTGGACACAGAACGGTTGGGGCTGAGGGGTGGTCAGGATGCTCCCCAGGTGCTCTGCCTTCTACAGAGCAGAAGAGCAGGGAGGGCAGACCTGCAGGGGGACCTTGCATTTGGACTGCGGAGAGTGAGGTTCTTCTGAGACTTGCAGCTGGGGAGGGAGAAGCTGTGGCCCAGGGGTGGCAGGAGCTGCCGGAGGTTTGAGTGGCAGAGCTGGACGGAGGTGAGTTAGATGGGCCTTGGGGGCTGCGAGACGAACAGGAGACGGCTTGGATGAGGGTCCTTGGTCCCTTCTGGTGTTGGCAACACAAGACTCCCCTGTTCTGGGTGGCCCTGGTGGAGAGGTGTCTGCCCTCCTATCTGTGCTCGCCACGCCCACCCCGGGGGCCCGGTGCCTGCTGCACACCTGCCCTGCCCCGAGGAGCCGGGTGCAGGAAGGTGCGGATGTTCTGCATCCTACTGCTGGGGCGGCAGGTGGGGCTTAAACCCCTGGCTCTCCTCCACACTTAGCATTCTCTGCAGGCTCCCAGGGGACCTGGGACTCCTGCCTAACACGCATGAAGAGCTGTGGGCACATGCAGTTGTGTGTGGGTGTGTGCATGGGTGTGCCCAGGTGTGCATGGGTGTGCCTCGGATCTGCCCTGTGTCAGCTTCCAGCTGCTCAGAAACACGGGGTCTAGATGGACCCTGGGCACTGCCCTTCTGGAAGCCTGGCTCTCCTCATTTATCTGTGGGACATGGTGATCAGGGAGCAGACGGCCCAGGGAAGTCACTCAGAAGACGACAAGGCTGAGTCAGTCAGTAGGGCGCCCAGGGCAGGTGTTCAGTTAACACCTAGAAGAGATTCATGGACCTGGGGCCTCAGCAGAGCCAAGGCCAGGACCCGGAACTTGCCAGGGACGCAGCGAGCAGAGTCCCTCTGATCCTTTGGTGGTGGGGGGTTTGGGGAGGGAAGAAAGACCTCGTGACTGGTTTTCCGAGGGGGCCTTTCCTGGCTCACGGAGAGAAAATCCACCTGCGGGCCAGAGGTCATGTTTGAATCACTTATTTTAAAAACATTTCAAGGATAACTGAGCGTCCACCACTCACTTGCTGGCTGGCCAGCAGGGAGGAGGGAGGACAAGCCTCCCCTGCCCCTTGGGCTGGCTGTCCAGCTGAGCTGTGCAGCAGGGGACCTTAGCCTCCCTGCCTGGCCTGCGATTCCCACCCAGAGAAGGACAGCCACGAGTTAGCTCTGCGGTGCCTCCCCCCTGGGGAGATGTCCATGTTTCCGGTGACCTCAGTCTGGGGGTCCCAGATCTGGCCAAGTCAGCCCAGCTGAACCTCATCACTGCTCAGGCTGTAACACAGCGCTCATTTCAAAACAGAGTCTAGGACGTTCCCAGTGTCCAGAGCTCAGGGGACTTAAGCTCAGGGGACAAGAGAATCTGGGAGCCTGGGTCCCCACTGGCTCTGTCCATCTGCTCTGGAGGTGGGACTTGGGCAGGGGGCTGTGTGTTCTGCTCCAGGTTCCCTCCGGCTTTCCCCCTGGACCCCTGCCTCTGGAGCCCCATGGGGACAACTCCACGGCTCCTTGCCATCTGGGTTCTCTGGGTTTGGCCAGTGGAGGCCCAGGCAGGAGGCTGAGGGAGGGCGGAGAGTGAAGATGGGCTTCCTGGGCGCTCTCCCTTTTGTCCCCTGTCCCCCCCCCATATTTTGGGGTTTCATATTAGAGCTAGGCCCTCAGGGACTGGACTGGAGTCCATTGTGTCCACTGGGGGCCCTGCTTTCCAGAGGGGAGGGGCAGGGAGCTCAGCCGTGTGTCCCCAGCCCGAGGCACAGGGGAGGCACCTCCTGTCGGACTCCCCTGGACCTCTGTTCACCTTCTCTTCACCTCTGTTCACCTTCACCTTCCTGAAGGTGCTGTCCCTCTCTGGGGACCTGACTAACACGTCCTGGGATGGTGAGGTCAGGTGTGAGGCAGGGGGGAGGAGCGTGGTGCAGGGCGTAGGCAGGTGGGGTCAGGAGCGGCCCTCAGTGATCTGGAGTGAGTCCCCTATCTCTGTGGGCCTGGGTTTCCCCCTGAGCAGAGCCGGGAGGGTGGACATCAGCCCTCTCAGATGCAGACCTCCATGACCGGGCTGGGGCCTGTGGACAGGAGCGGACTCTAGCGGATGCTTCAAGGGGACCTCCCACATTCTGACCCGCCGTCCCCTCTCCCTCCGCCAGGAACACTGTGCACATAGTTCCCTGGTTAGTCACCGAGCACGGGGCTGGGTGCTGTCGGGGTGAATTCCACGTTAGTCTCAGAGGAGTCTGTTTGCTTTCCCAGGAGCCCAGGTCTCAGGGCCTTGGAGGCTGGGCCTCCCCCAGACACAGGGCGTCACCATCTCCAGCACCAGGCTTTGCATGGACCCCCAACCTGGGGCAGGGATGGGGTTCAGGGAGCTGGGGAGCTGCAGGTGCTGGGAGGACGCGCTGAGGCCAGAGCAGCCAGAGGCCTCCCGTGACAGGGTCCCTGTGCCCGCGCAGCTCTGTGGCATGCGGCTACAGGATCTGCAGGCCCCGTCTCCAGTGTGCACCCAGCTCCTCCGCCCGCCTCTCTCCTTGGAGCTCAGCATCAACCCCTCCCGCTCCTGGAGCTCACGGGGGTAAATGTCTCTGCTTCTCCGTGAGCTGCCTTTTGTGACAGGGGCCTCAGCCAGAACTGAGGAGGGCAGAGGGAAAAGGTCCTTTTGTCCCCCGGTACAAATACACATGCCGGTATTTGGGGGTTTCATGTAGGAGCTGGGAAGCATTTCCCAGGCCGGGGGTAGACTGGCGGGTAATGACCTGAGTCCTCCTTCTCACTAGGCAGGGAGAAAGGCTCAGCCTCGTGCCCCGTGTCTTCAATGCCTCTCTAGGATTCAGAAGCTCCCTGCTCTGGACATGTCCCCTAAAGCTCATGCACTGAAACCTTAGTTACTCACTCTGCTTGCCCGTCTGCTTTCTGTCAGGAGTTGAGCAGCCTTTGTGGTCCCACAGCCTCGGACTTCCATCCTCCTGAGCCAAACTGGACCTTTTTTTCCTTCATAAATTTCTCAGTCTCAGGTGTTCTGTCATAGCAACAGAAAACAGAGACATTCCCTGTTTAACAGGGAGAGCAGGCTCTGCTGTGGCTCACCGTCCCCCCCCCCCCCCATCTAGTCATACTTTAATAAAGGTGTCTATATTTTTATAAATAACTCCTTTTAAATGACAAATGAAACTCATTTTCTCTTTAGGTTGGTGATATGAGCTTACAGTTGGAAAATAAGCCAGTAGTAAAGTTATACCTGTGCAGGTGCCGTAGATATGGCAGAACGGAATGGTCAAGTGTGGAAGTGTCTGGCGGTGTCTGGCTGGACACGTGCAGACAAGTGTGTGTGTGTGTGGGGGCAGCCTGGCAGTTTGGGGGATGGACTGGAACCAGGCCTTGGACTGAGTCCTCCTCCAGGGGCAGGCTGTGTGACCTCGTTGTGCCTGATGGGGCTTGGTATAAAAGTATCCTGATCCTCCCCCCTCGGGCTGCTATGGGGAGCAGATGAGTCAACGCAGGTCAAGGCAGGGAGCGGAGGTCAGAGTCCTTCCCAGACCGAGGCATCCCCATGAGAAGGCCACTCCAGGGGCCAGGACGTAACGCAGCCTGCTCTCTGGCTCACACTGACTTCACAGACGGAGGGAGAACAGGTGTTTCTGAGATGCCCCAGCCGCCCACCCAGGGGAGGCTTTGAGGAGGTGGAGCTATGTGTGTGTGTGTGTGTGTGTGTGTGTGTCCCAGCATAGCCAGTCTCGGAGGGGAGCACCCTGCCTCCTGCATCGCCCCACCCTCCCTGCTCCCCACGCCGGCTGCTGTGGTCAGCACACCCCGATCTCTTGGACATTTGCTCAGGGCACCCAGCAAGCTGGAGTCAAGGCCAAAGCTAGAAAGGAGGGGCATCTCCTGAGCTCTGCCCTGACACCCACGCCTTCCCCCACGTCCTGATTCATAGGGTCACCGAGTCAGGGTGCTGTTCACGGAGCAGCACTGGGTGAACGTCTGGCGGCAGCCCACACGGGGAAGGGCCAGTGCCGCCTCATGAACCTCCCGGGCAGGGAGGCGTGGCCCCGAGCACAGTCTCTGGGAGCCCTGGAGGCTCATCTCCGCAAAGGGGAAGCAGCCTGTGGGGCAGGTGGTGGGAAGCCACCCTCCAATCGTGGGCCTCCCAAGAGCTGGCCCCCGAAAGTGGGATCAGTCCTGGGCACAGGCACAGGGGCCCTCCTGGCATTTGGACACTTCATGGGCCAGAATGTTCTGGAAACACTTTGAGGGGACAGGAGAACCTTGAGGGCAGAGCCCTCTCCATCCGGCTGTCTGCAGGGGAGGGGAGGCTGGCGGAGTCCTTCTTTTCCTGTTCACTGCAGCTCTTCTGGTCAGCACCTTTTGTTTCTTTGCCCCGTGTTGGATTTCATATTTTGTTAAAAACTCTTTTCTTTTTTTGAGACAGGATCTTGCTAAATTGCTGAGGGTCTCACTCAGTTGCCCACGCTGCCTTCAAATTTGAGATCCTCCTGCCTCAGCCTCCTGAGTCACAAGGATTCCAGGCTTGTGCAGTTTTAATAAATGACAGATTTCTTCTGACATTCTAGGGCTCCTTTCCCCTAAAGGAAGAGTCCCCTTTCTGACCAGCAGAACTCAGGTCTTCGTGATGTCCGTTGCCTCAGGGCACTGTGTTCCTGGAGCTCAGAAGACGGACCCCACAGACTGTGCTTGATGCGTGGAGGCCTCAGACTTCCCTAGAATCGAGGTCCCCGTGACCTTCCCTTGGTTCTTTCCCTCTCAGAGCAGAGCGCAGTCCTTCAAGGTCCCCTTATCTACCTGACCAGCGCTGTCAAAAGAGGGACACAATTGCCTTCAGTCTTATTATTGAAAAGTCATGAACCACAGAAGCCCAAAGCCTTTATCCTAGGAAGAAAGACGGGGTCCGTCGACACACCTGGGCAGACTTTTCCACGCACCGTTGACCCCCATTTCAGTCCCACAGAGACTCACATAATCCATTATCTGTCCTGTGGGCCCCGAGGACTCTGTCCCAGCCCAAGTCCATGAGGTGCCCCTAAAACCCACTTGCTCTTCCCTTGAAAACTCCCTACCTCCCTCATGGTCTGTCCTCCCTGTAGAAAACCGCGGTCTCCGTTGCTGAGCCCCGTGGAGCTGGTGTTTAATTGCACTACGCTGTTTCCTCTGTGCGCGTAACAAATCCGAGAGTCTTGTCTCCAACTTAAAAAAAATTAAGACAGAAAGAAAAAGTCCCCTGGGCAGGCTTCCTCCCGGGCTCCCGTGGCTGACAGGTGGCTGGGACGCTCCTGTGCCGGCTTCCCACCACAGGAGGCCCCTCAGCCCAGATCTTCCCAGCCGACTTTGGTTGGGTTTGAGCTGCGTGAGGCAGGAAGGCTGCCGAGGAGCAGCAGTGTGTGTGTCCAGGGCCTGGGTTCAAGGGGAAGCTTGGCCACTCACTGGGTGTGGCCTGGGAGAATTCCCATCATCCCTGGGCCTCTGGGCTCCTTCCCATGTGCCCATGAAGGTGACAGAGCAAGGGCCACGTGCCTGGAGGTGTCCCAGGCCTGGGAGGACAAGGGTGCTGCGGTTTCGTGACGGAGCCCCACACCTGTCAGACTCCTAGCTCCAGCACTGACCAGCTGGAGGTGGCCTTGGACAAGTGGTCACCTCGCCAGAGCCTGGCTTCCTTCATCTGCCATCTGGGGTGTCCTTGTATTACTCGGAGAGGCTGCGAGGATGCTAATGATCGTGGGCGCTTGGGACAGCGCTTGGCACCCTTAGCTGCTGCACAAATTCCAGCTCCCCCTCCTCTGCCTTGGGTCTCTGCAAACAGTGCTGCTGGGGGCGAGGGCTCTGTGCTGCAAGACGGACGACCCCCCACTTCCCTTTCCTTCACACAGGGCCAACGGAGGCCCAGAGAGGTGGGGAGATGTCTCGAGCCCCCAGCAAGGATGCGACAGCCTGGGGCAAGAGCCACGGTGTGCCTGCTCCTGCTCATGGGTCTGGGTCCGGGCCATCTTACTGGAGTCCTCCTCCTTCCTTCTTCCTTCTTCCACCCTTGGAAGTTTCCCTGGTGCGGGGAGCTCCTGGGCACAGCACGACAGACCGGCTTCTACCAGGACACACCTGGTCCGTGGCTGAGCTTCACCTTGCACCCAGGTCGCGGAATCCCAGTTCCCAGCCCCCTGTTCTGGTCAGCCTCCCAGAGCGGCGCCCTCCCAGGGAGTAAGTGGAGCTGAGCATCTGCACCAAAGCCCTGTCCCGGCCCACGCAGAGGTGCTGGGGGACACGCCCAGCGCGGAGAGCAGATGCCTTTGCACAGAGATAGAGACACCCTCTTCCCTTGGCCGGAGATTCCCGTTGCCTAGCATGGGCAGTTCAGTCACAATGAGAGGAAACAGGAGGAAAGGCTTTGCCACGCGGGAAAGGCCTCGGGAGGGAACGGCCCCTGCACGTGGCTCCCTGGGACAGCCCAGGCCCGGAGGGGAGCTGTGGTCAGTGCGCCCAGAAGGCTCTTTCTCCCTCCATCTCTCCAGCCCAGGAAGGTCCCCAGTGTCTGGAGGGTGGCACAGCTCTGCTGGGCAGGAGAGAGATGAGCTGTCCAGGGGCTGTCCAGGGGCTGGCCATTCTGTCCGCTGGCCGCTGGCCCGACTCCTCCCCCACATGCGGGCATGCGCCCGCCCTGCTTGCCACGCAGCCCAGTTTACAAAACCAGAAAGGAAGACACAATAAACAGAACCCGAGCTAGCCAGGGGGAGAGAGCCCGGGGCCACGGAGCGGCTTTGGCCCTGAGGAAGGAGCAGGCAGGAATTGCTGGGGAGACCGAACTTGGGGCAGGGAGTTTTGTCCCTTCCTGAATACCGTAGTTTGTGGGCCTCAGTCTCCCCACAGCACCCCTGGGCAGGACCAAAGGAATGAGGGCACCCGGCAGCAACCTAGCGCCAAGGCCACCTCCTCGAGAAGCCCCCCCCTGCCCTCCGGCCAGCAGCGAGCCCTCTTTTTCTAGGACTCTGCAGCAGAGAGGTGGGAGGAGATGGCCTGGGGGCAGAACCCAGGGACCAGCTGGGCCCCAGGCAACTTCACCATCTCTGGGCCTCTGTGGCCTCACTGGGAGGATGCAGGGTTGTAGAGGATTCTGGGGACCTGGGGACAGCCACTTCCCTAAAGAAGAGGACGCCTTGAGCTCCCCACCCTGAGCCGCATGCGGAGGGAATGGGATCAGGGCAGAGTTCCTGAGGCTCCAAAGGTCCCCATGGAGACAGTGCGGAGCAGGCTCAGCGACCTCCCCATCTGCGGACACGGCTCAGAGGGCAGGTCCCTCGTGGCCTGCCCGTGGACTCACGTCAAAGCCCTGTGACCTCTCTCTGCTGCTCACTTCTGCTGTGGGACTCTGGCACCCCTTGGAGCCCAGGGAGGCAACCTTGAGATTCCAGAGCTCCGTGTCCTGCCAATGTTGACTCTTTCTAGAAAGGAGGGGGGCGTGTTCTGGGAGCTGATTGACAGCAGTGGGCCCCGCCCCTCAGGACCTGGGGCGCTCGGAAGACAGCAATAGCGCAGCCGGCTCAGGGCTCCTGGCCTGCCCTCGGGGCCCACAGACCTGGCGGGCGGCTGGGCTTTGCCTCCACGTGCTGGATTGAAGGTGACTTGGCCTCCTGAGGAAACGGGGAAGGCCTCCCGGTGCAGGGTACAGTGGGGCAAAGGTGACAGACCCCCAAATGCAGTTTGAACCGGGCGGGCTGTGCCAGATCCCCAGGAGTTGGGGTGTCTCTCTCTCTCTCTTTTGGGCCACTGGGGTGGTCGAGGGATGCTTTATCACCGAGCTACATCCCCAGCCCTTCCAGGTTTTTTTTTTTAATTTTAATTTTTTATTTTGAGACAGTCTCGCTAAGTTGCCCAGGTGGGCCTCAAACTTGTATCCTCCCGCCTCAGCCTCCTGAGTCCCAGGGTTTTAGGTGTGCGCCCCTGCACCCAGCTCCAGTTTGTTCTAAAAAACTTTCCATGATAGAGAAACTTGAATACACGCACAGGTAGGTAGAC